CCTACTGTACTGGCTCCCGTTGCTTCAGAGATCAACCAGCAAGATTCAGCACATGTGTGCCTTCAAACACCCAAGTCCTTGGCTAGCGAGAGGAGCGCAGCACCAGTGGAGTACGGCGTAGACAGCACGATCTTTGCCCCCTAGCGCAGGCGAAGCCATTCAAAAGCAGCAAGGTGCGGGTTGGCACACTGCTTGCGTGCGGAGTGCACAGCTATTGACAACTGAGAGCCATAGCTTGCTGTGCGACCTAACGCCATCTCACGGTACAAGTCAGTAGTCAGTACGAGTAGCTACAAGACGCATGCTTGCCCAAGTCCCTGCAGCAAACTTTTCAAACCCCCAGTCAAGGTGAATGCTGCAAGAGCGCGGCTTGCAGCCGGTCCTGTGCTGCAGCATTGGCTGTGGCGGTCTGGTTTGGCTTGGGCACCACCATTTGCAGCATAGCTTTGACCTCACAAGCTAACAGGTGCGATGCTACGGAGTCGCTACTGTGGAAGGCTGCTTGCAACCTGCAGAATTGCCGGCCTTGTGGCCGGATTCAGCCTGTGCTCGGTTCGTGGCCACCTTTAGCAAATATCACGAAACGAACTCCAGGATTTGCGCAAAAAGGCACGAAAGCTGAGCGAAAGGGCTGCACAGAGTCCGAACGTAAGTACCTTGCCCGTCCATCAAACGCTGTGGGAAACTTCTCTTGCAGCATCGTCAAAAAGCTGATCTTCTCAGATTCTTACCACAAGGTAAGTGCCAACGAACTCGCTGATAAATCTGGCTGCCCTGCAAGTGCGTGTCAGGCTGTTAGGGAGCCTCAAGCCTTCCTTGAAGTGATGCTCTCAGTTTGACAAGCACTGAGCAGAGCACCAAGGAGGCCGATATTTCTGAACTGCTCCGTTCTGCGCCTTGTCAGCCCAATGCTGCGCATGCTGCTCCACCCGCACAGAATCTCAAGGACCTAGGAGCCTGGGAGCCTGGGGGCTTCGCATCAGCCTCTTCATCGGAATTGCTGTCCTGCTCCTCGTCCGGCAAGCTTGGCTGAAGTTTGCACAGCCACGCATCCAAGATTTTAGCCTCGTCAGTCCGCCTTCGACGACTGCAGAAGTTTAGGGCTCCGATGGCACCTGGGCACACACCACTAAGCCAATGCATTCCGGAAAAATTGGCCCAGGTGCCCCACTGCAAATGCGGTGGCAGCTTAATCCTCAAGGCATTGTCGTGCAACTTGGCAAGTCTTTGCGTTTGCAGTTTTTGCGTCCTTCTCCAACACGAACACCTAGTGCAGCCAGCTCCTGACGGAAAAAGAGCTTGCGTTCCCTCTGCATTTTCCAGCACATCTGCGAAGGAGCACTAATCCTCTGGTCTGACCAGGAAGAACAGAACTGCTGCTGCGACAGCACCTCCAGCCTGGTAGGCCATGTGGGGGTTGTCCAATATTCC